GTGACAGCTGTTTTGTGGCTCATACTCAGTGATTGGTAGTTCCCATTTTCGTAGAGTCAAGGTGTAATACATTTGGAATCAACTTTGGTCTTTCAAACTGAATATACAATTTTAGGGTATTTGTTGTTTTTAGTAGGTTTTTTTAATATCTAGAACTTCTAATACAATGAAGTAAAATGAATGCTTTATGATTATAGCACCTAATATTAGATATCCAAACTGGAATTTCATCACCTTGCCAATATTCCTTATATCCAATCCCAGAAGAAAAAAAATATTAAATATAAATGTTGCTGTGTTGTGCAATTGTGTGTGGGTTTTCCTGTTCCCCCACACAATGACGTGCCCTGGATGATAACCATTGCGCGCATTCTGCACAAGCATAGGTTCAAGAAGAATCACGGGGAAAGCTAGTGAGCACAGGGTCAGCAGTTGTTCTCTTCCATTTTCTCCTAAGGTCTTTCATCACTGGGGAGAAAGGAGCATCACTTCTTCACTGGTCATTAGTTATGTGTGGAAACGTGATAAAATGGAGGCTTTTGCCTTTGTGTATAATCATTTAATTCTGCATTGGTGTCTCTAAAGTTTTAATTTTCAAAAATTTTATGCACTGTTATGATTTAATAAATACTAATGAATAAAATAGTGGTATGTATCAACCGCAACCATGTTATTTAATCTTTCAGTGTCCAGATTTTTTTTCAATACGAACTAAACGAAAATTAAAGGAGTTTTAGAAATATGTCCAAACTGCTCAAATTACTACATCTGTTTAGCACAGTAGTGAGCAACGTATTCTGAACTGTTAGCTCTCTGCTTACAAACACCTACCTGTATTTATTTACTTAAGAATTTACCATTCTAAATTCAAATGTCAACTATAACTAATGATTTCTTACGAGTATTTTAGAAAATTTTCGGCATTATAAAGTTTAAAATCTTTTGGGAAACAACTTGCTAATATGTTATTTCCTTCTGCCTCTACAGTGGGTCTGTGTTTTGATCATTTTTCAAAAGTGTAGACACTTATGCAAAGGGCTTACCCAGGGCAGATGGACTGCTGTATCTTTATTCCCAGAATTCCCTCTGGTCGATTTTACATTGATGAGCTGTGAATCTCGTAATAGAAAAATCATTGCACACATTCATGACTGTCTTAGTAAGAAGCCTATTCTAATGGTTGTCTTAAATAGGCTGTTCTGTAATGTTTATACATCAAAAAATAAAAACTTAAAAAAAAGCAAGCAATCGAAAAACAAACAACAGTAACAACAAAACAGCTTATGTCAGCTACTGCGACAAGATAGTACAAGCTTCCCTGAAGCATATTACTTTTGCAAGACACATCTAATCTTTGCCTCCCTTACAGTTCCTTTTTCATCCCCAAGTTATCAACTTGATATTTCTTTCCTAATATTGAAGAGTAATATATCTAACACAGTAGGAATAGATTCCTACTCTTGACATACTGGAATGCTCGGTAGACGAATAATCTAAACACTAGTGATGTTACTTGTTTACTAGTGATATTAATAGTGATATTACTTATTACTTCAGGCGAATAATCTAAACACTAGTGGTATTACTTGTTTGGTATCACCATATTTGATTTTATGCTTCTAGTATACAATTATTATGATCAAATGGAGCACATACTAATTTAATTTATATGGAATTATGTATATTTGTTTTAGATACATACAGGAGGATCTTCATGTTTGAGGTCACCCTGGTCTAGATCATGAATTCCATTCACCTATGGTTACATCGTGAGACACTATCATAAGCTCCTCCCACACCACAAATACACACACACACACACACACACACACACACACACACACACACACACTAACATCTGTGTATATATTATGAGCAAAGGTTGGCATCGGTATTATTTGTTATAGCCAATTTCTACATCAAGTTTAAGGACGTTTGATACACTTCCATGTACTCAGAATAGTTTGTATCCATCATATGCATTTACAAACTTCATGTGTTTCAAGGTCTTTGTATATTGCCTTTGTCTTCCAGAAATTTTTAGTGAATACATGTTTTTAAGATATGTTTATAAAAGTTTTCCAAAAATACAAACAAGAACATTTAAGAATCTCCATTTCACCTCCTAGTTTCTGTTTTCCTTATATGCATTTGGTATGTAAATCCAAGCATAAGCAATATCTACATTATATATTTATATATGTAGATGTAATTTTGTGTAAATCTATCAATACACATGTAAGATTTTCTTATCACTCTTCACATGATAGCATGATAGATGCTAAAGACAGAGTTCTTTGTATCTTATTATATTGCATTACAGTTACCAGTTGGAGAAGCACCATCTTGATTTGGGGTAAATTGCTACTGAAACGATTTGTTAAAAGAAACAATGCATATGTAATACGATCATATATAACAATCATATATAGTGTTGTTGATATTCACAGGTGTTGTGTCATGTTGTGTTCCAACCAGGAATATGTGAGAGATACTGTTTCTATGAGTCAGAACATTAAAGCTTACCAGATAAGAAAGATAGTGTCATAGAATAGTTTCTACTCTTGTTTAACTGGCTATAGGTCAGGTTGTATCTCTATTCCTGTGCTCACAAGGTGCTTCCTGTCCTTCATTTCTTTCTGTCTTTCTTTCTTTTTTTCCTTTTTTGTTTCTTCTTTTTTTCCTTCCTTTCTTTCTATTTATCTTTCTATTTTGACATTATTTGATTCTTAGGTGTTTATATTTTATTTTTAGGTTTCATTTTTTAAAGAGATCTATGTACTTGCTGTATTATTAGCCCCTGTGATCTGGATGTAAATATTTTCTACTTCTTTGTCATAGACTCTTATTTTGCCAATGGCATTTTCTGAAAATGTCATTGAAAAAATATTTTTAATTTAACCACATTACATTAAAGCAAAACAATATTTCCAGGTCACGTTAGCCATCATGAACAAATCTGTAGTTGCAAAAGGTATTTTTCTAGTAGCTTATACAGCCAATGAGTTCTTTTGCTTAGATTACCATGATATCAAGTCATGTAGATAAACATAAAAACAATTTCTTCTGTTTGAAAATTTATAGATGTAGAGAGAAGAAGAGAGAGAGAGAAAGACATATATCATCTAAATGGTGATTTGGTAAAAAAAATTTTTTTGAGAAGTTTGCCTGTTAAATATACATTGACCTCTTACAGTATAATTCTTGTAATATAACTTTTCCTTGCATATGTAAATAAATGGCTGTTTAATCCAAATAAAGTACAAAAGACAGATTAAAAAACAAAAAGATGATTTGGCCTATCTCTACCTTGGTGAACCAGTGTGTTCATTATGGTTACAGGAGCATACGGAATCAAAGACAGCCGTATCACCCAAGTGTAGGTGACAGTGTACAGAAGATGCTCCCTAGAGCTCCCTCCCAATTTGCAGGCAACTCCACTGAAGATTTTCCTCTATCCCAAAAAGCGTTTACTGAATGTATTACCTTGGAAGAGGGCTCACAACTTCTTCAATCTGACGAGCCTCCGTTTTCTCCTCATGAGCAAAAATTTTAATATTTAGAAAATAATAATAATTTGAATCATCACTATGAGAGTCAGCATGTCGCCATGCCTCTGCATTCCTCTGTAGTTAGAATAATAATCACACTGAGACTTAGACAGTAGTTGGTTATTAAATCAAGGTCTAACGTCTTGACGAAAATTACAAGGTTGTTAAGAAAGAGGAAAAGAATAGGATGTGAATTCAGAGACAGTAATGATGTTACTGTTTTCTTTAAAGAATTGGATTTGAAGAGAAGACAGCCTATACTGGTTAGAACAATAACTAAGTGCAATGTGACAGGTATCATATTATCATCTGAGGTGACATGAAGTAATTCTCAGTAGACTGTGTTTCAATGCTTGAGTAAAGCCTAGCAAGCACAGCAAGGTCAACTGTTTCCACACAGAATTTTGTCAGACTTTCTCCCAGGTTATTCACAGATACCTGAATTGGGAGAAGGGCAGAGAGCATTGAAACCAAAGTAAACTGTGACATGCATTTGTCTAAATACTAAACATATTCAATTTCAAATAAAATATATTGTGTTACATGTATGGGTATTTGAAATATAGTAAAATTTAAAATGAATTAAAATGCTCCAGAATTGAAAGCATTACAAAAAAAAATATGTTTTCTAATATCAAAAATTTGAATAAGCTTTCTTCTGAAACACTCAATAGAAAATTATTTGGCATCAGCAGATGTATCACTTTTCTTAGATTTTTGTTGCATTTTTTTTCTGGCAAGTATTAATGATTTATATCAGAATACATTATGTTCACTCTAATTAATAACTCATTAACTTTGTAAACAGTTACAACAGGGCAAATCTTGACTAAGAATAGACATGAATTCTACTTTAAAACGGAGGCAAGTAAAGCATTTTGGACAGTCAGATAGGAGAGAAAATTAACTAAAAAGTGGAATCTACAGTGTTTTTTTTTTTCAAGATAAATTTGCTTATATAACAGTTATCATTACTTACCAACTGAGACATATTTGATGATGTATCATTACAAAAAAACTGCAGCTCTAATGTGGCCAGAGAAACATGACACTTCTCTTCAATCCTCAGCATCTGTAGCATGGAGGTCCTATGTATGTACTAAAATACTCTTCTCCATATAAAATGTACATGCATTTGTGGGAACAGCCCCCTCCCACCACCAGGCAGGACCGTGTCTGTGCTTCTCCTGATTTGCCATTTAAGCAAATCCTAAGACAATTACAAATGTAAAAGTAAAGTATTTTGGCATGATTTTAATTCACACACTATGGTTTGGTGACTGAGGGATTTTCTAGCTAGTTTATTATGAAGTCTTAGCTCTCCCTCAGGTTTTGACGAAAGAAAATAAGGATACTAAATTAGCTTCTGAACTGTCCAGTGCATGGTTACCTCACCAGTGCTGTCCAGGCTTGAACAAATGCTGAGCATTGCTCTGGCTTGCTTTGCAGGACCAATGGTTCTGGCGGGTGAGAAACAACAGGGTGATGGATGGATACCCCATGCAAATTACTTACTTCTGGAGGGGCTTGCCTCCCAGTATCGATGCAGTTTATGAGAACAGTGATGGAAATTTCGTCTTTTTTAAAGGTAAGCATGTTTTCTCAGGCTGGTTCTGTTGTACGTTTATCATTTTGTTTAAGGCCTTGTAAAGCACTGGGAAGTTAATAAATAAAGATTATTAAAATTATATAATAGATTTTATGAAATGCACCATATATTAAATAGAAACATATGTGAAATAAAATAAGTATAATGTTTTTTTATGCAATTTATACTTTCATTTCCAGCATTTTTGTGTGTAAGTAAAAATTTGGTGACATCCTGCTTTATAATGATTTTAGATTTGGACTAAATGCAATGCCTTTAGAAAAGTAAGGCGTAGAGAAGGACTAGTACATGCTTTCAACTTCAGTTACTTAGAAGGCTGAGGATACAGCAAGAGAATGGCTTGAACCAAGTAGTTTCAAAATAATATAGCCTGAGAATCTTAGTAAGACCTTGCCAAAAAAAAAAAAAAGAAGGAGGGAAGGAAGGAAGGAAGGATGGAAGGAAGGAAAGAAGGGAGAGAAAAGTAGAAAGAAGAGGAATAGGGAGAAAAAGTGAAAAGAAAGGAAATAAGTGGCCACTTCTTATCTGTTTGTTTCTATAGTATTTGAAGTTGCTGACTGCTATTTGTGGTGAAATCTATTTTATAACTCAGAATATATAATCTTTGTAGTTTTATTGTATTTATCAGTTTGTGTAAACAACTTCTAACAAACTAAGACATTAACCATAAGGATGAAAAAAGGTTGGAACTAGCAAAGTCACCCAATGATCAATACTCTGATAATGACTTAATTATTAATTATTTATCAGAAGAGTGAGTGCTTATCTTACAAGTGCTACCAAGTACCTAGCATGCAAAGTCGATAACTTTGCAAAGTGAATTGTTCCTCTGTCCTTAAAACTTGACAATAGATAACTTTAAATGGGTCTATAGGGCACAGAGGTCAGAGTGCTAGAGAACCGAGGGAACTGTGGCAACAAATCTAAACTGAGGCTGAGACCTGATGTGTGGAAGAATCATGACTCCTGTGTGATCCGTGGTCTTCGGGTGCTGAAAATAGACTAAATAGAGGACTCAGTTTGAGAAAAAGAAAGAAGAGAATCTGAAGAAGAAAAAGTAATTATTCACAGGATTGAGTTAGACTTTGTTGTAGTGATAGGTTAGTGGAAGCAGCTTGAAGGCAGGATGTATGTTTTATGTTATATTAAATGACTGTATGCTTGGAATACTTTGCTTTCAAGGATTATCTTGATGAAAACAGAAGAAGTGATATGTCAGTTATACAGTCACAGGGGTTCTGTGATTATGTGTGTGTATATATATATACATATATATATATATACATATATATATATATATATGTATATATATAAACTAATATTGTCCTTGAGAACTAGGCAGAATTCCTGGTCTCAGCTTACTTATTGGGGATTATGATCCATATTATTCCCTCTCTCTGAATTACTTGAACCTCTAAATTATTGTCACATATGGGTAATTGGCACATATGTACCGTCAGTGAATGACAGTCACGGTGGCTGCTGCTATGACTGTTAGTAATATTATTGCCCTCCTGCTATTTTAGAGCAGGCATAACTGGAATATACATATATTATACCTCTGTGAACAATGTATGAAAACCAGTTACCAGGCAAATTGGTGTTTTTAATTGGGTTCAAGTTGTATCAGTAAAATAACTGAGAAAGAAACTAAGAAGAAAGCTTAAGCACAATTTTATTAGAGATTAAGAAAAAAAGCAAAGCAAAGAAGGTCAGCAAACAGCCATGAAAAGCAGTAACAAGGTAGAAAGATTTGGGTAGTTTTAAACATGAGTAAGAATGTCCAGTCAATGAAAATGTGTCTAGGTTTTGGTCATGATCTAAAAGAGAAACTTTTGTAAAGGAATGTTCTAATTTTCTGAGTAACTCAGACAAACAGTGTACTTGGTAAAGCAGACAAGCTCAGTTCTGTCTGAAATTTCTGCAAGGGACTGCAAGGGACTGCAAGGAGAGGAAGAGTAAGTCCATTATGTCATTAACTGGATAACTGTTCATCCCATCACATGGCTTTGGATGAGTCATTCCTTCTGAGGTTTCCTGGCCAGGTGGTTGAGAGGGTTATCTAGATTAACCCTTAAGAAAGCAGACAATGTTGGACAGTGCTCGACCATTTGGAGCTGCCCAGAGTGGAAGCAGGTCTCATGCTTATCGTACCACACCACATTCCCGGAGAGCTCTGCTTTCAGGCTTGTCATTCTTTTTTTTTTTTTTTTTTTTTTTACAGTATAAAATGTAGGTTTTATTACTATTTAATTTAAATCTTTATTACTTTGATAATTTCATACATAAGTATGGTTAATAACACCTATGCTTCTACCCTTCCCACTCCTTGCCTGTCTCCTCAACTCACTCTCAAGTTCAAGACCTCTTCTTCTATAATTGTTGTTGCAGACATAAATACCATATATATTATATATATATACATATATATATTCACACACATACTGAGTTACTAAATTGCTCTTATACACATGTATTCAGGCTTGTCATTCTTAAAGCCCAAAGAGTGGCAAAGTCTGGACTATTTATTTAGTGTTACCAGGAAAATGGATGGGGTTGAAAACTTCAGTGGCCTGGAAGACCACTCTGACAGTACCTGAAGGTTGTGAATATTAGCTGCGTAGGACGTAGCGGGAAATTTTCCTCTCCTCCACTCTTCTTTGGCATTGTGCCTGCCCAGCAAGTCGTTATTCTCAGGATCAAAGTATAATTTATGATGATGATGCAGGTAATAAAAACAAGGAGTTTGGGAAAGCAATTATATCTAAAGTGCCTACGGGAAAACTACAGGTCCCGAACAGGGGTATGAGGGCCCTTTACTACCTCAGGGCTGTTTCGCTTTTATTCGCTTTGCTTTTGTTCACTTTCATGTGAATGCATTCGCCCCTTTTCTTTCATCTTTCAACAGCTTGTATATAAATCATACCCTCAGACTATTCTTCCAGACACTGGAAGAATATTTAAATATTTAAACGTAAGTTATTTAAATATACCTTATTTAAATACACCTTTTGATAACACATTTTACTTGCAAAAAAAATTTAAATTACTTAAAAACCTAAAACTTTCAAACAAATTTCATCAGGGTGGGTTTCCTTCATATTTTTGGACCATCCCAATAGTTTCAGTTTAGGAAAGAGAACTGGTTGCATAGTCTCTGCTTAGTAGACATTTTAATGAAATAATGCCTATAAGTGCTAATTAAATGTCAGTAGGAATTAGAGAAGGGGTGGCCATCACAGAGGTTGACAGTACCTTCTGCTTCCGGCCACATAGTCATGCTCAAGAAATTAGCCAGGATACACAGTGAGACGGATTGGGGGATTTAATTACCTAAGAATCATCACTATCCTGGTTCTGCCTAACAAATATTTAAGGTAAAACCTCAAGTACTCAAACCATTACCATGAAATTGATCTGGAATGAAATTCAAGAATAATTACAGGTACATAACTATGAAGCATAAAATATAACACAATATTCAGATATTATTTATCAGATTCTTGAAGTTTATATCTAGTATAAAGGGCAGGATATCAAATAAAAAGCATCCACATTGCAAAAGAACACAGAAAATTTTTCCCACAGGCCAGTCTGTGCCTATGTTGGAATAAGATGCAGTCAAGCAAAAAATTTACTCAAATTGGTGAGTGAATATAATAATGTTGCAAGACTGTAGGATTAGCAATTGTTTTTACATATCTCGAATGATTATGAAGAGACTGAAACACTGTAATATTTTAAACTAACAACCTAGCCTGTCTTATTTTCATGGTATTTGGGATGAGGACAGGAAAATCCTCAATAAGAGGAAGGGACTTAGTTTTTATTTGTTATGTCAGTAGCCTGCAACCAGCATCCCACCGTGTGATATGAAGAGGAACAAAGAACTGTTCTTCATGTAATCATTTCCAGAGCAAAAAGGAGTAACAAACTAAAGGAGAAGCAAGCTCACCTGTTTTCTTCATTACACTGGACTAAATAAACCTTCTCCTTACTATGATGAGGGAAAACTGCACTATGCTCCAAGAAATCTAGTATGCAAATATCTTTGCAAATACCTTTCACAACAAAAGCAGACTGTGTTTAATTTGAAAAAAAAAATGCTTCAAAGCAAGAAGTCTGTGGGAATTGTTTTCTACTACCTGTTAGTGAAGAAAAAAATCAAATGCCATACCATTTTAAAGTTTCCATATCTCTGGATGAACTGCAAAACAATATGTAGCACTTACACACACCAAAACTCCACTAACCAAAAACAAACAAAGCTTAAGTGAAGCCTGTGTCATTCATGGGTGCAGCACTCAATACTATTGCAGTACGAAGTATAGTCACATTTATTAGTAAAGTCATTTTTGTTCCAGTCAAAACTTTTGCAGGCTTCATTGTAGTATATGTAGTAGCAGTTAAGTTAACTATGACAATCAGACACAAAGACTCAACATACAAAAAGAGCCTTAGAGATTATTATGTAAATTTGAGTCTTATTTGAAATTACTGTTGAAAACACTGGTTTCCATGAAGGTAGAAAACTAGATACCTGTGAAAAGGAGTGCCTAATTCAGAAATACACCCAAACATATATCTAGAAGGAAACTTTTTCTTCAGAAATTTCTTCGAGAGGTACAGAAAAATTTCAGTAGGGGAAAACGAAAGCCTTTTCAACAAGTAATTCCCAAAACATCAGCTAGCTATGCTCAAGACAAATAAACTCAGCTCTGTACCTTGTGTCCTATTTTAAAATGAATTCACAATAGCCTCATCTTCCTTCTGAAACAGTTGACTCTCTGAATGTTCTAGACAAATATTGGCCACATCTGTGAGTCTGGTTTAAGGATTTTAATGAAAAAATCAAAATCTACTAAGAATTTCATTTTCTTCATTTTAAAGATACTTTAAAGAACAGCATTTAGTGGTGTGTCACCAGAATACACAGAGAATCCTCAAAACTTAATTCTACAAAGCTCAGTAGCATATGG